ATAAATTGATTGTGGGGAGAAAAAAAGAAAATAAAAAAAAAAATCCCAAAATCACCCAACCAACCAAAGCCACCTAAGCAAAAAAAAAAATCCCAAAGGGAAGTAAAACTGCTAAAAAAGCAGACTTTTCCCATGGGCTCTGAGCTGGATTAACTGACAGAGCGGGTCATTTCCCACCGCTGGTGCTCGGCTGGGGAAGGCACGGAGCGGTCGTGCCGGCGCAGACCAACGCGGGGTTCACTGAGCCGCGGCCCCGGCTGCCGGGAGCTGGGGGCTGCCTGCGGGTGGGGATGCCGGAGGCGTGTGCTGGTGTGCGATGTGATTTTTAAACTGTGGTTCCCCTTTTCATTCCTTGCAATACCCTCCATCTGGGAGCAGAGCAGCCTTCCCGCCAGCCAAACCCCTGTAAGGATGAGAAGAAACAGCTTTACGCCGCGGGCCAGCGCGGACACGGTAAAGCGCCCGCGACATTACAGCGTTGGGAGCAAACCTCTCGACCTGCTGGGGCCTTGCCCGTCCCTGGAAGCTCGAGACGGGGCCAACTGGCCGCAGCTGCAAGTCGGTGTCCAGGTGGTACCTTCCCTGTGCTCCCCCTCCCCACCATCACCCGCCGCTGTCGGTGGTCCGCTCTGGAATACAGACCCTTCCCAGGGCCTTGAACATCGTCTCTGTTCCTGCATGAAAAAAAACCCCAAACCCAAAAGTCGCCCCATTAAACTCAAATTGTGGTGCCAGAGGCTTTAAAAATCAGGCTCCGTGCAGGCGAGTTTCCATCAGCCTAACAGGTTTTTGGTAGGGTGGTTAATTTGCGTGATATCTTACTTTCTGGCAAAAACCTGCTTGGAAAGAGTTACAAATACCTGCTTTGTCCAGATCTGGTGTTGCAGCCGGGCGTTGCTCTCGGTAGGAAATCCATGCGTCCGTGGTCTTGCCGGTGCCCGTTTCCCTGCAGGTCCCGACATCAGCAGCTGCTTGAGCACAGTTTGGGCTCTTTGGGCGCCCAGATTAAAGCAGCTTGGGTTTTGGTGCGTGGCGTTTCTGTTGGCTCAAAAAGCACGTAGGTCCTCATCAGTGTTGGATGCGAAGCCCTGTTTGTTTCTTTGCTCATTTAAAGTTGATTCTCGGCTAAATCGGGAGTTTTTCTGTGCTTGGGGAAGCGCAGGCAGGGCAGGCTGCTGCCTGTCAGAGAAAGTGGAGGGGAGGTGTGTTGGGGGGCTTCGAGGGGGTCTTGGCTGGGCATCACTTGCAGAGACAGCCATTGCTATCAAAGCGATTTAAAAATAAATTGGATACCTTAGAGATTAATGTTTTCCAAGCCATTCAGTGAGCCCAGCTTCTTGTTCTCCTCCTGGTTAGCGGAGTAAGTGGCCAAAGAGTAAAAGAAGGGGTGGGCGATGCAGCACAGGTGAGCGTTGCTGGTGTTTCCAAACTGGGTGAAGAGCATGAGGCTTAGGCATCCCTGAAATCCCGGGGCTCAGGTGGGAGCTGAACCAGACAGGGCTTTGCAGTGGGGTGGGCTTGGGATGGAGGGTCTCAGCTGGAGAGGACCCTGACTGCCCGAGGTCTTAACTTGTGGGTGGCTCCAGCCAGGCAACCCCGGGACAGGGTAACCGTGATGTCGAAGCACTGGCAGCACTGGGATGAAGCAGGTTTAGAAGCCCTGGGTTCTGGGGCTGTGCTGTGCTGGGACCTCTTGCCTGATCGGAGCACTGCAGAGGAGCGGCAGCGGAGTGGCTGGGCGCTGCAGCACGCCATGTCCATGCCTTCCAGCAGCTCCTGCTGTGGTACAAGCCTGCCCTGAGCTCCCTGATGTGAAATCCTTGGGGTTGCTTCACTTCTTTCCTCATTTGCTTTGCTGCTTTTACTATTCTTTTAAAATCTTCTTTAGAATGCTCTGTGAGCCATCCTGTGCTGTTTCTTTTTCCTTTGCAGCCTCAAGGGGGAAATGCTTGCCTGTGAGTACCACTGAAAGCAGCTTGTATGTACTCTGTTTCGGTTTAGTAAGTAGGACTTCTCTTGACTAACGTTGCATGGAAACTACTTTGGGGAAAGACTATCGCATGGAGCAGAAGGAAGTCTTTTGTGGTATAATAACGTGTCATTAAGGGGGACCTCAGTGGGAGAGGAGTGTGTTACCAGGCTGACCCCACTCATCCAGGGGCTCCAGCTGGGCTTACTGGTGCATCACGCTTGTGCTGGCTGCCTGCAAAAGTGGGTTTCACCCCAAGCTTGCTCCGTCCCTGGACCAGGTCGTGGGATGGCTCCCTGCTGGCACTGCCGGGCTGACACACGTAGGTTGTGCTGAGCAGTGCTGGGTCCCACGTACGTGTCCTCGTGCCTGAGGCAAAGTGTGGTGACGTTGCTGACCATGGGGGCTTTGCAGGAGTCATTGGATTGCAGCCTGGATGGGAATGATGCTGCTCAGCCCCAGCTCCCTGTGACTTGAGGGAGCTGGGTGGGTTTAGTGTGTGCTTGGAAAGCAGCTGGGTGGGTAAAGCTTGCTGCAAGGGTGGCAGTTGTCACTGAGTCCTCGCTGTTATGTCCCCTTGGAGGCATCTGTGAATGGGGGCAAAGGGTGCAGGGTTGTCTTTTCCCACCCTAAGGGGAGAACGTGTCCTTGTCTGTCCCCCCTCTCCAGGGAGCCAGCAGCCAGCGTCACCCACGAGACCTTGGTTTCCCTCTCGGCCTCCGAGTGAGGGGCTCAGACGAGACCTGGGCTGCCACCTCACACAGAAAGGCCAGAGATGCCCTCGCTTCGCCGTGCTCCCGCCAGCCCCGAGGTCCAGCCCTGAGGTCCAGCCCTGTGCTCCTGCTCTGGCTGCGGCCGACCCTGCTGCAACCCTTCGCTTGGCTCTTCGGGTGTTTCGCCTCATGCAGTACACACAACGCTGGTGTTTTTGTCTTGTAGAAGGTGGTTTTTTTTTGCAATTTAGGTGCTCTGTCTGGGAGCCTGGCTGTACGGTACAGCAGGTCCCTGCGTGGGCTGTGGGACAGCTCTCGGCAGCTCCCGTGCCGCATCCTCTGCCCGGTGCCGTGCTTGTCCCCGTGCTCCTTTGGGAGCTGGGAAGCACCCAAGGGTGGGCTCAGAGGTGGCACAGACTGTGTTCTCGGAGGCTTTGGGTCACCACATGTGGGTTACCACGGTTGTTGCTGACCTGCTCTCTCTCTCAGCAAAGCTCTGCTCCCTCCTTGCCTCTGCCCTGGGGCATCAGGCAAATCCTCTTGCTCCCGGTACTCTGGTGTCAAAGGGAGAGCTGGGTTGAGTGCAAAGAAAGTAAAGCAGTAGCTGGTTCAGCTTCCAGACGGTCCGGAGTTACAAGAGGATGCGGGTTGGGCTGGGGGGGAGGCAGGGTGGTCCTCGCAGGGATGGAGCGCAGGTCTCGCTGCCCTAGGATGCGGCTCGTCTCCGGGCGAGGAAGGTGACAGCTCCTACCCCTGTGCAGGCAGCGTTCCTCCAGGCCTGAGAAACTCCTGCTTGAACCTATTTGGCTGTTTGGATGTCAAGTTTTTTGCTTTAATTGCACTTTGTCCTGGAAGGGAAGCTCTTCCAACTATTTTCTCAAAGCGACTGCTCTGTCTTTCTCCGTCAGCGGGATTTACGCACATGTTGCAGGATGCCAAGGTATGCGATTGATCCCAGAGTTACATGCCTCTGTCTCCTGTTCTCTAGCTTGTGGTAGCATTTTTAATAATGCTGCAGAGTTCTCTTACTGGCAGAGCAGCGTGACTGTCCTGCCAAAGCTGCGGCAGCGCACAAGGCATCAAGCCGGGGTATCGCTGCCGGGGTGGCCGGCGTGGGGACGGTCCCACCAGCAGCCATGCAAAAAGGAGCTTTCCTCCTGGCATCGCCCTGGGTGTCAGAGGCCTTAATGCTGAAGATGAGGGGAAAAGGAGGAAGAACCTGAGCTGGGGGAGTTCGTGATAAATCTGATAAATCATTTTCCATATACCGAGTAATACTAATTTAGAATCAAATCAGAGGAAAACTGTCTATAGGATAAAAATTGAAGCCTGGCCCCTTGGATTTGCCTTTACTCTGAGCCGCAAGGAGCTGTGAGTTTAGCAAATGAATGTATATGCCAGCTTTGCTAAGCTGCTTTTCTAATGCTGCGCTTCGTGTTTCTTTTTGCCCTTTATTTAAACAACTGACCCAGAGTTCAGAGGAGGGTTTGCAGATAAATGAAGGTAACCGGGTCCAACTTCCTTGATTCCAGTACAAACCTTCTTTCTTCTTAGTGCTCGTGTTTTCCTTGAGAAGGGAGCAGCTGAGCACCTTTACGGATTGCCTCTGTCTGATGGCGGTGACTTTTTAAGTGGCATTCTCGGGAAAGCTGTTTGTATATATATTTTTAAAATTGCAAATAGAAAATATGTAGGGTCTGGATTTCCTGACTGTTGCATTTTAAGTGTTGGTGCCTACTGTTAATTGTCAGAAAATTGCTTCAAAGCTGTGCCTTTATTTAATTGCGAAACAGTGCTGGTTAGGTAACAGGACAAATTGCATGTATTGATTTACACATCGCTTTGTGGTCTCCAAAAATGCCGCAGCCGAGCAGAGCGGGCAGCGAACATTGCGCGACTTGGAGCCCTTCCGAGCATTTTCTGTGCTCTGAGACATTGCATGGGCAGCAGCTGTGGGGAGTCCTGGCTGTCAGATTTTTAACCGGTGTGATTGTGCTATTGTAAATATAGAATTCACTTGTACTGACCTGAGTGTGGTGTCTGTCAGACCCTCGGCGAGGCAATGGAAGGAGTTTTATCAAAACTATGATATTTGTTGTGGTTAATATGCAAAATTATTCCTGCAATGTTTCTTATGTTTGTCCTGGAAGTGTACCTCCCTATGGAGAAGGTAAATAAAAGCGAGTAACCCGGAGTAACCAGCCTACTTCGTTACTGCCTGCCACCCTGCGAGACACTCCAGTAGAGCTGAGCTTGCGTGGTCTCGGGCTGAGACGGGGAAACCCTTCGTGCGGAGCTTTGCAAGAGGTTCAAGGACGATGCAAAACGTGAAGCAGCTCGTTATTTGCTCAGGGAGAAGTAAATAAATAAATCCACAGATGGTTACTGTCACGCAGACCGACTGTGTGGAGCTGGGTGGATCTTCCTGCCGCTGGTTGCTGCGCGGTGTCTGTCTGTCCATCTGTCCCCCGGCGCTGAGCTGTTCTGTCCCCTGCTTTACCACCTCCGGACTTACCCTTGGTGTAACCTGTACCATTTGTCTCTTGTTTGTAGAGGATGGCCGGTTTAACGGTGTAGAGGTTTCTGCTCTCATCTGGAATTCGGCTGGGATTTCCGAGGCCGGGAAGAGCCCTGCGGACAGGACGCCAGCATCCCCGGAGCGCAGTGAGCCGCGCGCCGCTTCGGCCGGTCCCCTCCTCTGAAATGTGTTTTTAGAGTCTGTCTGTGTTCTCTTCTTTCCGAGTGCTGAAATGTCGGTCAATGTGATTGGAGAAAATTTATTACGGAGATTTTTTCAACTTGCTTTTAATACGTGTGAGCTAATGCATCCCTGGGCTTTCTGAGGCGTTAAAATAGCGTCCAACGTCTTTCCTCCTGTTAGATGGCAAAGCCAACCGCAGCGTGGGTGAGGACAAAGTGGGTGTATCCACGCTCGCTGAAGCAGCTTTTCTTTGGAAAATGTGTTGTCAGACCAAATCCCCAAGGTTTTATTGAACTGTTACCATTGCCAAGTTCAGATGCAGTTACGGTGTTATTTAACCATCGAAAAAGCTCCGGGTACCGTTTGGCTTTGCTTTCACGACTGCTGGTCTGAACGCCCCGGCCTGAGCCCGTCCCCTGGTCCTGGGCGTTCGCACGAGGTGCAGCCCAGGGCGCGTGTGGGCTCGGCAGGCGGTGAGGGGTGGCGCCTCGGGGCTCGAGGGAGAGCAGCTCCCGCGCCGGGAACAGCGCAGCTACCCACGCTGCCAAGGATGAGCTCAAGCCCTGCTTCAGCTTTGCGTCCTGATCTAAGCCTCATCCTCTCGCTGATTTTTTAAATTTTTTTTCCTGGGTTTTATGGACGCTTTTACTTCTTACAACAGAAAATGAGAGCATCGCTTTGCTCGGGGTCTGGGAACAGCGGGGCCGCGTCTGCAGGGTTTTGCACCAGTTGTCTTTTTAATGTACCAAATTTTAGGCCCACGACAAGTTTTTAAACTTGCCTGTGAATAAGCTGTGAACATTACTGATGTATAATGCTGCCTTTCGTAGGGTTTAAGCTGCTTTAGTATGGAGTGCATAGAAACTTCTCTGCGGCGCAGCTCGCGTGATGGCTGCGTGTTGCTGAAATCCCCACTGAACCCCCAGATTTAGTTTTCTCCCACGAGTCTTGACTTGTTTTTTGCCAAACTGCGTTTTACCCCCCCCTCCTCCTGTTCTTGCCACAAGGGTCCCGCATCCTCAGGTTAGGTGGAGAAAGGAGTGTTTCGGTACGAAGCAGGAGCCGGTTCCGGACCTGCTGTTTCCAGTGGCTCCAGGATTTGTACAAGCAACTTCTGGGACCCAGGTTGCTAATTTATAACGTGTAAATAAACGTTGGCCATACCTGCAGTAGGGATCTCTGCTTGGGGGGAGCATTGGCACCCTGGCTGCAGAAGAGCTCAGCAGCCCCAAGGCCTGAGGTTTACCTGGGGATTCTGAGCTCAAACCCTCTTGTTTTAAACACTCCCAGAGCTTTAATTTGATAAAGCTGAGATAGAGGGCCCTGGTGAAGGCCCAGGCACTAATCCTGACCCCTTAGGATTTCTGAGGAGCAGAAGTGTGTGTTGATCTAAAGCAATTGTGCTGCGGAGGGAGGATGGTCAGTGGGTGAGAAACTGAGTTTTACTGGTTTTGTTCCTCAGGCTGTTCTCACCAGGGCGCAGGTTTGCTGCAGCCTTCTGCAAGAACAGAATTTGGTTTTAAACGTTACAGTGCTTAGAAATGAGCCAGAAAGAGGTGGGGGGGAAGGCTGAAGCCTGTTGCATGGTGATAGTTGCTGTCCCTTTCCAGTAATGCTGTAAACGCACAAACCTGCACCGCGTCGGGCTGGCTGCTCCCGCCGAGAAACCCCCGGCTCTGCGGGGAAGAAGGAGTCGAAATGTACTGTAGGATGTTTACACACAATGTGCTGTAATAACTTGTGAAGGAGTTAATTGTATTTGTATCATTGAGTAGTTCATGGTTGTAAGGAGACAAAATACGTATTTTTTACCTGCCAGGGTTCATGAATGTAGCTGCTAATACGTTGGCGGTTGTAACTTTTTTTAATCACTGCTAAGAATCAGGTCTGGGGTTTTGGGTCGCTGACTGTGGGTCCCTTATTCCTGCCGAGTGGGTCCTTCCCTGGGCCGTGGGATGGAGCCTCTCTGCCGTTGCTGCGGGCGGCAGCATTTGTTCCCTGGTGCTTTAATTAAAGCCTAACTATAGCCTTTTCCTCCTGCATTTTAACTTCTAAAAGGTGTAAATGCACATGTCTAGAGCAGAGCAGCAGCAGTTCTGTGCTCATCCTCGTTGCCGTGAGGGACGGGGGTTTGGCGGCGGGGGGAGCCGTCAGTCGTTCCGGAGCTGCTGTCCTGGGCTGGTGGTGGGTTTGGAGCTGTGCAAGTGGCTTTGGGGCGTTCGTGAGCATTGCACCCCGAGTGGGGCTTTCTCTGTGTTTCCCTGATTTTCTCTCTGTTTGTGTCAGAGCTGGGGATGGCTGCTGTCACCTCCAGGGACCTGCAGCGCTGTCCCTGAGCCGGGGGCCGGCTGCCCCACCCGCCTTATGGGTCGCTTTAGAGAAAAATGGTCGCTCGGGCAAAACCTGTTCCATCTCTGCTGCCAGCGATGGGGGAAAACTGGAAAGTGAGGGAAAAGGCTTAAAACCAGGCCAGGTAGCCTGAGTTTATGTAACGCCGTTTGCAAACCGCATCTCTCTAGTGTTTACTGAGATAGATATTACACATCTACTTGCAATGTTGCTATATTACTGCTTTCTAATGGGGTTTTTTAGGTTTAAAAAAAACGCAGCGTATGTTATCTTGTTCTGTATGTTGTGTGCTCTGTGCACTTGAGCATAAATAGCCCATCAGCATTTACTGACAATAAAGAGGTTTGAAAAAAACAGTACAGCTCTCTAGTGTTTACTGAGATAGATATTACACATCTACTTGCAATGTTGCTATATTACTGCTTTCTAATGGGGTTTTTTAGGTTTAAAAAAAACGCAGCGTATGTTATCTTGTTCTGTATGTTGTGTGCTCTGTGCACTTGAGCATAAATAGCCCATCAGCATTTACTGACAATAAAGAGGTTTGAAAAAAACAGTACAGCTCTAGTTTCCTCTGTTCCTTACCGTTGTTTGCTGTAACTACCTGTAGTGTGCTGCTTTGGTGAGATGATGGTTCAGGGAGTCTGTGGGAAGGGTTTGGAGGAAGAGGGTCTGCAGGGGAGGGCGGGCATCCCTGGCTTTTGGGAGTTGGGCTGGAAACGGTGCATCCTGCACTCCGGGGCTGCT